CTTCTCAGTAGTACTTCAGGAATATCTTGATGTCAGTTACATGTAAGCAGACCATTATAGTTTAGTTAAAAAGGTTTCGTGAAGATTGGTTTTAAATGGCATATTGTATTCTTCACAGATTGATCTCAGCTGATTAATCTTCTAAAATGTTACCCAAATACTATGCTTTATATGAACTATAAAGATTATTGAACACCATGTTTTCATAACATATAAATATAATCACTCTACTTCTCTTGATTTATTCACTAAATAAATACAACATCCTTAATCAAGTCATTTGTTTCAGATATTATTTTCTCCTTATTGATCATATGTTCTTAATGTGAGATATTCATTCAAAAGACGGTTCTTCCTTTAGTTGTAAGAAATCATCTGATTTTAGTACAAATAATCAAAGAATTGTGTAGGTTGTAAGCAAAGATGGATAGTGGCTAGCAGTGGAATCCAGGATGCGTGTTTCGTCCTATTTGAGACGCGTCAGCTGGATATACCTGCATCTCAGAGTTGTTGCAAATCTGGGAGTCGAACCCAGTACCTTTCGCTCCAAACGCCGTCGTGTTATCCACTCAGCTACTGAGTCCTGATAGCCACTTGCTTGTGCAATGGGGTGAAGTTTAAATTCATTTAGTGTTGTTTGTTTGAATCTTTCCATTGATGTTTAGGACTGCAACTGATCAGTCTCTGATTGGCATATGTACATATTGTGCGTATTGCCTCGATATAGCCTTAGTCTACTGCTAGCCACTATCCATCTTTGCTTACAATGCTTGTGAATTTAGGCTATATCGAGGCAATACACACAGTATGCACATATGCCAATTAGAGACTGACCAGTTGCAGTCCTAAACATCAACGGGAAGATTCAAACAAACAATACTAAATGAATTTAATTGTGTAGGTTATTTTCAGAATTCGAGAAATAAGCTAGATTTTCAGTAAACCTGAAGTATTGACAAACTACTTTCAATTATCTTCAATTCAACTTCAATTCGTTTCTTCATATTCCTAATATTAGATGAAATTGACGGAAAACTGTAGTGACACTACCTCAAGACAATGATGAAAAACAAACAACTGGAAACGGTAATTAATCTACAAAAACTTTGGAATCGATATATTCTGTTCCTGAAATTCATTAGACGTGTGTATATTCAAAATTATTTTTGCATTCACTTAGTATTGTTTGTTTGAATCTTCACATTGATGTTTAGGACTGCAACTGATCAGTCTCTAATTGGCATGCAGGTACATCCAGCCGAGAAGTGCAAATTTCTGAAGGTATTCATTATAGATTGAGAAAATGTTGGTTATCAGGAGATATTAATTAGTTGTGTCATCTTCACCTAAGATACGAAACCAGTATGAACAACTGAACGTGTACAGAATCAAAACTGTGAGCGAGTGCCATACAGTGGAGATATGGGTTTAAAGACTGACAGATAACATTTTCAACTTCTTCCAATTCTTAATATAAAGTTTATCTATCACTGATTTACTCCTATTGAAGTTAGAGCGCTTTTACTATAAATTCTAAAAATTCATTCTCAGATTAGTCTTTATTATATTTTTGGATTTCCCCGAAAGGTTTGTAGATCAAATACTTTTTTTCTAAATAACGTAGTTGAAAAGGAATACAAAAGAAAATTATCAATCTTCAGTTCGCCTCAAAAAAATAGACCTAAAGCATGCAAGATATAAGAGGCCTTTACTAGACTATCTTAAGGTAACCAGGTACCTCGTCATATAGTTAGCGATGTACATGAACGGGTAACCGAGATTATCACTGTCCCCATCTACTATCTAGCAAAACCTCAGCCAAAGTAATGGGCTTGGCATAGGAAAGAAAACTGTGTTAGGCTTGACTCTTGTCCGACTCTCTGAGGAGATATGATGTATGTAGCATAGGTGTGAATGTGTGTTCTTCGTCCTCGAAAAAATCACATTTTCGCAAGTTTATTCCTAAATTTTTCTACTAAGAAACTTGTATTCAGTCGATAAATTACTTGAAAAGCATTTTAGTGTTTAAGTTTTATAAGAAAATATGAAACCGTTCATTATAAATATGGCATATCAAATGTACATTGTTAGTACTCATACCCAGAAACATCTTTATCACTCAGTGATGTTATACTCATCAACAATACACTGTAAAAAACTTACAGTACACGTCACCAAATAGCTTTAGCAAGACAAGAATTAGAAAATAAGGAAAAACTAGACAGCAGTATTACCGTCGTCTAAGGCTTTGTAAATATCCACATCAGTGACTGCTACAGAGATCAAAAGCTGGATCTACAAGTTTAGTGGATAGCCCTTGGCTTCGAACTAATTAATGGATATCCAATGATTTATATTTCCAACGTCAACCACTTCATGATATTTTGCTATCATTATCCATTTTTGACAGTAACACCTGCCTCATTTACTATATGACTAACCTCTATTATTCATGACTTCTCACTATAACCTCAGGAATACGTATTATGTTTAATCATCAGTTCTCTCATGATTATTGTTAGTCTAGAGTGTTTTGAATGAAACTGTTTAATTTTTAGCTTAGATTACTTAAATATGCATATCCGGTTTTCTGTTAAACTCTACCAACATTTTAAAACGAAAAAAACCCATTTCTGAGACTTGCTGGATTATAATCTTGTATATATATAACAACATACATAGATGAAGTAATTTTAAGATAGCAAAACCTATTAATTCAACATGGCTCTCACCTTTGAAATTATATTTTTCCACCTAGTGATCTTTCAATGTAATATGTCTTTTCTTTTTTTAAGAATATAGCTACATAGCATTTGTTATATCTGACTTTATTATACACATTGACCACCTGGTGTTTTGAATACACCTGTTTGAAAGACAAGTATAACATGGTTATTTCTCATGCTGCAGTTAGTTTCTTTAGAGTAGGTATACTGAAATATAAAAGTGAATGGCAAAACTTCATCAAGATTATAAACTAGTAAATGATTTGATGCATATATTATAGTACTTATTGATAAGTCTTGTCGATTGAACGCTTTATTCGTTTTCCTAAGCTATTCTAGTAACCCACAGGCTAAAACTACTCAGCGACTTGAACACCGGAAAAAAGACGCAAGTATGAGAGAAAATACTTTATTCCAAGGTTCGTTCTTGTACAGAAAATCATGGGTATTTATAGATGTTAGCATTTGTCAAATCAACATCATATTTCAGCCAATCCGTTAACGACATTATGCTACCGACCAATAGTAGCACGCCACGTTGGAATTCTAGAATGTTCCATCATACTCTGATTGGCTAGGGCTCTTCGGCACCTTTTGGGCCTCTAGAGGCTCCAATGAAGTTCTCCGGAAGCCGACTCAACACTTATGAATAAAGAAAAGTGGTTCACTATACTCAACTAGGGTTAATGAAAGACTATTGAAACTATTTAGTGAGTTGATTTTTTTTTGTATAAGTCATATCCGACATTATGTCTATGAATTACAATAGAATACCAGCTATTTATTCAGAATCTCTTAACTTATTCCACATTACTCTGGTCGGTGCTCTACGAGGGGTAATAGGCATGAATAAATAAAAATCAAATCAAAAACTTGTTTCTTTTGTAAAGAAGAAAAAACAGAACAAATTATCGGGACAGTCAATGATGTAATCAAACGTTAGGAAAAAGTTGAAAAATTGAGTGATATAATACATTCGAACTGACTAGTTTTAACACATATCTTTATTGTCACTAATCCGTTTTCATCTACTTCATTACAAAATCAGACAATGATTGTTAATGTTATGACTTCTAATCACTAGTTCAAAATTCTGGAACTTTCCATCTCACACTTTATTTATTTATTTGAATTTTAAAAATATTTTATGATTTTAATCACCCTATTGGAACCATCGCTACATCATGATATACATATTCACCACTCATCATCGTGTTTTTGAATATGTCAATTTCTAGTAATAACTTCGATTTTAAAATAATGTAGGTTGTATATAGCTGATGAGAACCTAACGAAATAAAAATGATTTGATATTATTCCGCACCAGTCTTTGTTTTTCAAGATTATTCGCTGAATTTCAGATTGACGAGCTCTTTGTTAAAGTTTCAATGTGAACATCAACCTGAAGACACAGGTGCGTTTATTTAATAAGTTCTAAGTAGAATGAAAAGTTTCCTGTATAACACTGCTGGTGATCCCGTGCGAATTGCTTCGATACAGGCACTTTATCATAAGCTTTTTAAAACAGATAACTGAAACCAGAACTTACGTTTTGTTCTATTTGGGACACATAAACTAGCCACCACCTGTCTAAAATCACCAGCCTATCGGATAGCACGTTGACATTTAAAGAGATAAGTACTAGGTCTGAGTCTTCGAGTAAACTTTAACAATAAGATTCAGGTACATTTATCCTCGTTTTGAGTTCCATTGTTAGCCTCAATTTATCAGTTCTAAAATAATAACTAATTTCTATATATACTTGAAATCGTGAGTCAATTGAATCTAGACCACCATGGAAAACCTGGAAGCACTGGAAGGCCGTTTCGTTCTATTGTGGGACTCCTCAGCAGTGCACATCCACGATCCCGCACTCGCGAGATTCCAATCCAGGATCTACCAGTCTCGTGCCAGAGCACTTAACCGATAGACTACTGAGCCGGCATCCAACTGTGTTAATGTCCAACTTCAACCAATCCACGAAGTTGAGCAACCATTTCACCAATGTCTTCAGTGACTGGTTTGTTGTTGACTGTCACATAAACAATTTGCACACAGTGTACCCTTTATTTTGACTGCTAATTTTAGTCATTATCAAATGTACCTCAATAATAATAATAATAATAATAATAATAATAATAATAATAATAATAATAATAATGGTAATAATAATAATTCATTTCTACCCAATGAAAAACGGTTATTTTATCTAATGTGAATGTATATTTTATCATTAGTATAAACGAACAATTTGTGTGAGAGACAAGAAAATATCAATAAAGTGCAGAAAGTATGAATTGTAGGGCAGTATTAATTCATATCTTGTATAACATGTTATGTGTTTCATGTACAAATGTATATGCTACATCCTATTATTCCCACTGAACTTATCTGTTTAAGCCAATTGTATTTAATATAAGGAACCAATCCAAATCAATTAGAACACAGTTAATCTATGTGATAATTTTGATTGTTTAAGAAATATTAAATGTGTTTTCATCCCTTCTTTACTGTATGTAAAAGACATTCACTTTAGAAGAGACTGAATAGTAAATTATGTTATAAACATTTATTATATGTTCTCATAAAGATTAAATTTATTTTTAATAATGGCTTCTCAACATTGTTCAATTCGTTTAATTCGTCAAGATACATCTATTCCATGGGGTTTTCGATTAGAAGGCGGTACTGATTTTGGTCATTCTATTACTATACAACATGTGAATCCTGGAAGTATAGCTGATTACAGTGGACTTCGGGCTGGTGATCATGTAATACGAATTAACCAATCTGAAACTAAATGGATGAGACATGATGATGCGAAAATGGAGATCATACGATCAAGTAATGATTTAGAATTGTTTGTTCAACGTAGTGACATAGCAAATCTATATACACATCAAAATAATTTTTCTCCATTACCAAAACATTCTTTAAGTAGATCACCAAAACCAGTTTCTCCACAACCAGTTAATCGACAAACTATTTGGCAACCTAAAATTGTTTCATCTGTTCAAATGTCACCAAATAATAATCATAATAATCATCAAGCATATGGGACTCATGTTAATTTAGAGGCTACATCGCAAAATGAAGAGTCGTCATCTATCGGAGTTAAACACAATATCTCACCACTTCCATTTGGTCAATCACCACCGGCACCTGGAGAAAACGTACTAACAAAAGTTGGTGAGGGACGTTATAGAAAAATAAGCCACTCATCATATAATTCACCTATGGGTTTATATAATCAAAAAAATAGAAATCAAACATTTGAAAGAACATTATCTAATGCTACAGGTAATCAACTTGATGGTGCAGCACCTCGAGTATCACCAACAACACCACCATCAATGTATTGCGGATCATGTGGAGGTTTTATACGTGGTGTTTTTGTTAAAGTACAAGGTCGTATCCCAATGCATCCTGAATGCCTTAAATGTTGTAAATGTGGAATAGGTTTACGCAATATTGGTTATTTCTACATTAAAGAACAATTATATTGTGAAACTCATGCTAAACAGGCTGCACCACCTCCTGAACCTGGCATGAAAGCTGTTGTTGTTTATAAATAACAGGTGAACTTTGAAAAAAAATAATAATAATTTCAGTTCTATAAAAGATATTTAATACCCAATTATTTCCTGGCAACAAATTGTTTAGTTTATAAAATTTGTTACTAAAATCACTAGAATTAGTTTAAAATTGGATATTGTGTAAAGCCATCTTAACTCTCATCATCAGTTGGTATGTATATTAAATTATAACTTATATAACTTTAAATGATATCAAATAAATATCTACAATTTATTATACCCCTTCTGTTTGCTTTGAGAAGAAAAACAACAAAAAAAGGTGAGATTTTTCAATATTTAACATTAACCAAGAAAGATTAACATATACACTTCATATACCGTGGAATTTACAAGTTCACTTCGTTTTTCTTTTTTTCCTTTTTTTTTATAATTTCAGCACTCTTCCCGATTATCAGTCAATTTTTTTGGGGGGGGGGAGGATTCAAGGAAATCCTTACAACCTTTCTAGATGTTTCATTCTAATTATTCTGTAGTTTACTTAATTATCTTTAATAATATTCATCATTAATGATCGTAATTATAAAATTGTAGTTGTCTAACTAATCAGAAATTGATTTTATTGATTAGATTATTGTTAATTGCGATCATTTTATGAACCTTTTAAATATTGATTGTGTATCCGGTAATAGAATAATCAATTTAGTTTTGTCAAAATTGTTATTATCATTTCAATGAAGATAATAGAAAAGAAAGTATGTTGAATTGTGTTTCTTTTTTTTCTTTAAAAAAAATATGATAAATAATTAAATTTCCATTTTGTACGGGAATTAGATGCCCCAATAACTTGAGTTATCCCAATGTGAGCTTGGATATCATAATTTACATCAACAGTATTTAACTATCCTGATAGATGCCCATTCTGTCAAGAATAAGAAGTTGCCGTAGGACCCAAAGATCTTGAGTTCGAATCCGAGTGCGATGGTATATACTTACAGCTGAGGAGTCCCTGACTAAGATAAACAGTTACTAAATGACTTCTTAGTTTTAATTCTTTTTTAACTAAGATTGGTTTGTGATGCAAACTATGAAATTCAAAAATTTCCATAAACACTATAAAACAGTCCAGTTTAGCATATTTGAAGTTTAATTTACCTTTGTACAAAATGCGCCATCTACTTATGTTTTGTATTACAAGTCGAATAAAATGTAAGCTTATTTTTTACTTATAAGATATTTCGTCCAAATTAGAGAGAATAGTTTCACAGTATTTGGGCGCCGAGTTGATGTATAACATCAAAATAGGAATAATATATTTGTAAAATCTCAGTGAATGAATTTGAAGTAAATCCAACGCTTCGCCTGGCAATCTAGGCCTAGCTTTTTCAAGGAAATATAATCAAACATCAAAGCTTGAACTAGATTGTCAAGCAAAACCTTGGATATACTTCAAATTCACTCGTTGAGATTTTACAAATATATTATTCCTATTTAATGTCATATACTATAATTCCAATGTTCAGGTTGTATCAGTTGGCCATTATACAAAACGTTTAGTTTTAAGGTATTTAAGCTAATGTATTGAAATGGTAGGAGATTTGTAGCTTAAATGGACGTTTTTGCAAATGTTGATTTTCCTGTACTGGATAGTTTACTGAAGGAAATTTCGTTCTTATTCTAGATATCATTAAAGTTTACCTATTTCAAGTAGGACTATTAATGATTTTGTCCATAATGACAACGAACTCGTCACAATTAAACCACGCAGATAAAAGTACTTACCAATACCAAAAACACCAATATATGAAGAAGTTTGCTAGGAAAAATATTCTTGAAGAAGGTATGATTTCCTAGAGCTGCCCAATCGTACTAACGGTTAGTTTAACATGTATTGGTTTATAATAAAATACTGAATTGCTGGGTCATTGACAGAGGTATTAAAAGTCAGTCAGAATTTAAAATTACGTAACACTCAATAAGTAAAAAAATAAATTAAAACGTGGAAGCGAAATATGGAAAATTACCCACTTGACGATTATAAGGAAGATAAAAATATAAGCGAACAAGTGTCTAAACAAGATATAGAACAGATATTTAAAAGATTATTGTCCACTTGAAGAATACAGGAAGATAAGGAAGAGAAAACAGCCACGTCAAAAAATGATCAACAAAATAGCAATTCGTATGCTAGAACTATGGTAAACTAGCCAATTGAATATACTTATTCTGAGCACGAAAATCACTTGTGAACTGACGAATCCCCAAAACGTACTCTATCTATAAGTTTCTTACCTAGCTTACTTTCGAAACAATTTGTCCTACTTTGTGAATAATTTAGACTGGGGGTTCCAGTGGAGGTAGACGATCAGATGGCTAGATGTTCAACAGTTAAGCTATTGACTGATTTGCATTCACCATTCAATAACCATGCTGGACAGTGCCAGCGTAAAGGGTTCGGAATGTGCATGCTTTGAACGATCAACATTACAAGCTCCACAAGAGTAAATAAAACGGCGGATACGCAGCGTGGTGTCCCGAAGCGGCGACTTATCTTTGGCGCATCCTAATATCAGATATCTACTTAAGAATACAGTTTGTATTTCAACCGAATAAAAGGTTTTCTTCAGGAGTTCGCACAGCTGACTGAGTAAGATCTCCTAGACCTTACGCCCTCTAAATTCAGTGTCCTAGAACAAAGTCTTCTTCAGTGAGTTCTTTCAGTTATGCGTATAGGCTCCAGGTTGCTGTCAGTGAACAATAGAGGAAATCAATTTTTCATAGACATTTTTCTGCATTCCATCCTCTTTTACTCCGATTGTGTCTTCTGTACACACCTTTTAATTCTCGAAGATAGGGAATGCATCAAATTTCTCTGTTTACTAGGTGAAACCCAGCACTAGAAGTTCTCATATTTCCCTTTCCATGTTGCGTTTGTATGAACCGATCTTTCTAAAAAGCCGTTCGGTTTTCTTCTAAATGAAACATCAAGGAAGTGAACTTCTGAAGTTGTCTCTGACCATAGGGTGATTGTGATCGACTAGCGGGACATACTGAACGTCTGTATTATATTATTAAGAACATTGGCTTCATCAAAAAGATTGAATGCATCATCTAAATACCACCTACAGAAGTGAAAATCCCTAGTTATCAATCAAACAACAGTATTTCCTAGATTGATCACGAAATATTTCGCTGAGAGGACTTAGTAGGAATTTGATAGTAACGACACCAATTTCTTTATAGAAATCATTGTTGAGTATGAATCGTGCATTGAAGGTGTAATGTACAGCAATCATTCGAGATAGCCATGCCATTATTTTTTATATAATCACTAAGGGACGTATTCTCGAAGAGAGAGGTGACATCTAAAAGAATCATCGTCTTCTGAAAAAAATTTGAGTTAGCTATTAAATCCACAAAAGCATAGAAGTCAAGGGTATTGTATTTACTGATCGTATTTCTTACCGACCCAAAAATTTCCGACAAACATTTGGTAGTTGGATGGCATGGTTAGTTTTTCATATCCATTATAGAGCAGATTGAAATATCTTTCTTGTGTGTTTTCTGAAATCCTTATAAGCACGGGGTAGTAGAGACCAATGGTCTTAATTTTTCAAACACATCAATATCAATGATTAATCCATCTTTCATCATTCTCAAGTTTATTGTCATTTTTTGTTCAGATTGATCAGTTGTATAACCTTCGCTTGATTTGTGAACTGCATGAAAATATACCAGAAAAGGAGGAGAAACATAAGAGAATTCTTTTAAAAAATTTCAATGTAGAACTTAATTAGCTGATTAGGATACAAATATTTCAGTCCCAACGGATATTTTTACGATATAAAATATATGCAAAGTTAATGTTGGCCTTTTGTTCATGGATTAAAATTCATTATGAAAATATTGTAAGGAAGATAATACTGAACGACAGCTTCTTCTATGTGTGAAACCGTATCGATAATAACACGCTTAATATTTTATCTCAATAAACTAGTCACAGGAAATGCCTTTAGGATGTATAGAAACAAAATTAATTGCCGAAAAGAGAGACTACCCACTGTGCCTGATCTAAGCTGATTATATTCATATCTACATCAAGAATTCTGTCGTCCACACATCCACAAAAAGCTATATGGTTAGCGCTCTCATCGTCTGTGGAAAAATAGCAAACTCCATGACCTTCTGTAGGAGTTAAACGTATACATACTCCTGACCGGTGAGATATCATCTAGGACCACACTTGACCTTACAAATTCACTGTATTTATACTCCACTTACGACTGAAATAGATATGTGAATTCGTGGAGTAATCAAGCAAAAACCAAATGGAGTGAGCAGAATGAGAATGAGTAATGTATGTAGTTTGTTATGATTGTTTATTTTGAAAATGGTTAATACCAAGCGTTTATGTTGGCTAGAATTATGGCTGTTTGTTTTTACCATGGGGTTTTCTAGAACTGTGGACCTATGCCAGAATAAGACAGCTATCCAGTACTTCTTCATTTTGAATGATTTTCTAGTTTAGTTTAGAATGTAATGTAAGTAATTATGTAAATGAATAATTTTTTTTAAGTAGCCCAACAATAATCTACAGAAAAAAGGCTAATTCTTCTGCTACTTTTACAGATTAAATTAAACTGCATTTACGATATTGACCATTTGGAGCGAACGATTCCTTGTCCATTAGGAGACGCTTAAAATCCTCTGAAGGATAAAACACGCCTTTTTTTAAAAAAAGTTATTTCGGTGATGCATTCATAGGTGCCCGAAATGAAAATGTTTTATTCCCTACAAATCTAATTTAAAAAAGATATTTTATACAGTTACCTTAAATTATAGCAATTTTCGAGTGTATACAAGAAATCTGATTTTCCATAGAGTTATGTACGATCTTGGTTTTATTAACTAACACTTTTTTTGTCTAAAGAAGAACATATATAAAACTACTTAAGTAGGCAGAAATTTGGCAAACTATTCACCTTAAGAAATTAAACAAACAGGACAGAAAAAAGGAAACAACTAAATATGGAAACAATAAAAAATAAGTGATTGAATAGAAAAACTGATTTAGTAGGCGATTTACAGTAATATGTACCTAACATCATTTACAATGTAAAAGTTCTGAAAACAAGTCAATAACATTTCCCTTGTTAAAAAAAAGATTCCCCATATTATTCAGCACAAATGTAGAACTAGTATTATCTTCAATAGATTCTTGTATGTTTCTACAACTATAAATTCAGATCTCAGCAAGTGCAAGAACTATGGAAGCATCACACTGTAGTGAGCGAACAACTTACTAAAATCTGAAAACCATACAGTAAATACTTAATTTGCAAAATATCAGTCAATCGTCTCAGACTTCACTGTTCCTTCTTTTTCACAACAATCATTCTTTGTTCTCATTCCCTATTCTTTGATCTTCTTAACCTTCTGCCTACAGGCATTTCACTTTCGATTGATGATACATATTACTTATATCTGTCGACATCAGTAGCACACACCACAACACTGCTATCAGTACCGGGAAAGGTTTTCAAAAGAGTGTTGCCAGATGGGGTGAAAGACTCAGTAGATGCCTGACTTCGAGATCAACAAGCCATATTCCGTAAGGATCGGTCGTTCACAGACCGAATCGCGACACAGGCAATCATCGATGAACAATCGATTGAATGGAACTCGTCACTATACAACAACTTCCTTTACTATGAGATGTTTGATAGCATGGATAGGAGAACCTTATGAAACCTTCTTCAACACT